AAATCAACTTGGTTTTCACGGGAGACTCAAGTGAATCTCTCGTTTATGATATTCTACAACTGAATGTGCTGCACACAGGCCGCCTCATGTTTTAATTGGAACGATATTCGAGATATCGCAGTATATTTTCATAAAATAAACAAATCACAAGGTTGCAGATTTTTCGGCAACCTGTCTTTTTGGGTCTGACTTGGTCGCGACCGCCCGAATACCTTCTCAGTAAATGAGACCAGATAGTTGCTCGCCAACTGCTTTCGGGTCTCATTAAGAAGAATCAATTCAGTTCTATTCACCAGTGATGTCCAAATGATATCACTCACTCTCAGAGGATGTTGTGAAGAGTAATCCAGATGTCATCCAGAGGAAGATGATTTGTGATTAAAAGTGACCTGATTCAGACGTCTTACATTACCTATAAAGTTGCTTAAAACTCTGACAGCCCCGACGTACTTCGCCATTATTGGGGCTCATCAGGTAGGCCGGTTCCCGAGTTTCCTTCAATGTTATGTTCTATTTGAAACCAAATTGCACGAAATTAGCAAGCTACACTAATTTGCAAACAAATTTGGTTTTCTGAGAGACTCAAGTAGAACATAAGGTTGACGGAACTTCGGGGACTGCGCCTACTTGATGAGCCCCAAGAAGGGCGAAACCGGTTGTGGGTTGTCGAAGAGTTTTTCAGCAACCTGGTGAGTAGTTTCCTTTGTCGCACAGAAGTCTCAGAGAACAGTACATACTTTCAACTTTGCTAGTTATACTTATACAGTTGTCATCAACATTACTCCACAAAATGAATGGCAGGTGTAGAACTTGATTCCTCATCTGTTCACTGGATATATGTGCCACGATTTGTGCCACTCGGAACCTATGGCTACACTATTTGCTTATCTGTAAGAGGTGAGTTTGAATGGGGAGTGGGTCAAGCACGGATAACGCTGGATTCCCGACTCCACTTCGATAGGCGGCAAGTTAGTACTGGAAGTTTAAGCCGTATCATGTATCACCAGATGATGCTCACAGTGTTAGATTTGACTATATTTCAAAACTAAGAAGCTTATTATTCCCCTGTGAGGTTTTTACTAACAAATTTGGTGACAAACACCTAACAGTGTTTGTCGGCTCATTCTGAAGCAGCTGATGAATCCGGTTGGAAAACTTTTCATCTCCCGTTTGAGGGGCTCGTTTGCCTTACAGATTCAACACAAGTCAGACATAAATCGAGTTTCTTTTTGATCGCTGCTTTGAGTTTTGATTTCATTAAGGTTGGTGTTAGAAATGAATTTTGCTATACGTTTCTATGTCCAAGGGGTGAAATGTTCAATGATTTTAATTATTGTAATTCCACTAAAAGGTGTCTTTTAGATCCAATTCGATCTGTCTTTTTCAATTATATAGCAATCGATATTCTGCAGTCGGTCGCAGTGAAATTTGACTGATCCTGAATGTACCTATATCCGCAGATTCAGAAGTTCGCTTTCCAAGAACTAGTACTGGATTGACATATTTCAATATTGATTTGATATCGATTCTAAAGTTTATTACTTTCCAATTCACTAAAGTCTGTCGAGGAAATTTTGACGGTGAGCAAGTTGAGCCATTCAATGATAGTCGATTAATTATTGGAGCGGTATTCCATGCAAACTTTCAAACTTCTCCTGACGTTTTTGTCAGCCAGATTTGTACGTTATTAACCAGTAATTGTTGGAGTGATACATCGAGTATATTACAAGACAGAGGATAGGGGCAGCGTTTTCGGACAAATTCCAACGTTCAGTTGCCTGGACACATCACAAACGAGAATTTCAGCTAAGTCTCTCGCAAAACCCAATTTGTTTGCAAATGAGTGAATTGAAATAAATTTGTTTACTCGGACGATTGGATAAGTTTCAGTGGACTGGCTGAAGATAAGGTTAATTCTTGAATCGGGAAACTCAGGGCAGCTTTTACCAACCTCCGAAATCTATGGCGTCGATGTGGCGTATGTTTATCTGTCATTGCCGGCGTTTGCACTGCTCTAGTGCGATCTACACTGCATTACGGATGGGAGACGTGGTGTCTACTCGCAGAGGACAAACTAAAGATGTCAGTGTTTGACCATCGGCGTCTTACTCGCAGAAAACTAAAGATGTCAGTGTTTGACCATCGGCGTCTCCGAGGCATCGGCTAGGTCTGTTGCAAACATCGGATTAGCAATGCATGCTCGCGCCAGATGGTTCTTGGAAGAAGGAACTCTCCTGTGATGAATGATGTACTCACGCTTCATACAGCACATTCAATAGAACGTGTACTCCGCACACACCGCTTGCCTCGCAGAGATCTTTTAGCCTGGCCCTGTGCTGAGTGAAAGCGACCGATATGTGGACGATGAAGTATGAATACACTCACCAGTAAAATTACTCATATCAACAACTACCACATCCTTGGATGAGGACTTCAGAACTCGACTTGTCAGTGGTTAGTAATACTGACAGAAATGGCCCAATCGCGTTCATGCATCAAAGCTATCGCCTTCAATGGGCAGCTAGGCACCGATTATTATCATAGCTTCACCACCCAGTGGCACAGGTAATCACACAGTACTCCCAGGTGTCAGAAACCGGACAATTTCAGGTCGGAACTCCACTGTGATATTTCACTGGGGTAAAGAATTTTCGTGATAAGAAAGATCTTCTTTTGGTCCGCAGTTAATTTGTTGTTTTCTGATCTGGAGCTTTTGAGTTGTTTTCCAGTAAGGATGTTTGTTCGGATCCTGGACAGTTATGACAAACGACAAATTCCTCTCCTTGACCAAGATAAACATCGGTTGTTAGACATTCTAGGCCAAGTCTTTGTTCTCGCTTCGGTCATCTTGTGACCACAGTAACTGCCCGAATGAGTGGGTAGTCGAGCCCAGTGGCTTCTAGGTGTGCTTTCAACCTATTTATCTGACAGTTTTTGCGTAAGAGCTTCACAAAACTTCTCAATACTTTCCCGGCTCATGACTCTTATATTTAACAGGAGTTAACATTCCTCCAGTTCACATGTTTGCAACAGCGTGATCCTTTGCACGCATCAGACCGTGCTTCCTCGACAGTCGGATTCAGACGACCGTTATTATCGATTCCATTTTGTCCATCAATTATCCCCCGACTCATGTCATCTGTCACACAGAATCCAGCATCCTGTTGCCGTTGCCTGCACGCGTTTCTGCTCCAGTAGAAAGTGAAACCAGTCTGCCTTCTCTAGGTTTTCTTGGCCAGACAGTGGGGCTTCACTGAATGTACCGATATCTTCCACGACAAGAGTAATGAGACTTGAAGACTAATTTCCTCCGTTCTTGTTTGAGAAACTCGCAGAAGAACTGTCTTTCTTGCTTCTATAATCCGCATCATGAGCACGAAGGTAAAACTTTTTAGCCGCTTAGTCGGACACTTCATTCAAAACCTTTGAATTCGTGCACCGACAGACAAGGCAGTAGAGGGCCAACCCAGAATGAGGTCACAGGGAGTAAGGCATGCGACTCTGGTTCCTAACAGTAGGCGCCTTCTGAGTAGCAACGGAATGCAACAGAATGGGGTAATGTGCCATCTGTGACGGCCAACTGCAGTGCGTGGACTGACTGTTTCTTGTCCGACTGGCTTCCTTGAAGTGGTTAGACCTTCGGGAAATGACTTCCAGCGAGTGTAATACGTGGAATCACCATAGCAATTCAGCCCAGTCGTTGTAACAAGGCTGCAGTTATGGGACTGATAACAAAACTTACCTGTTCACGCATCAAAGCTACCGTCTTCAATGGGCAGCTAGCCACCGATTATTATCATAGCTTCACCACCCAGTGGCACAGGTAATCACACAGTACTCCCAGGTGTCAGAAACCGGACAATTTCAGGTCGGAACTCCACTGTGATATTTCACTGGGGTAAAGAATTTTCGTGATAAGAAAGATCTTCTTTTGGTCCGCAGTTAATTTGTTGTTTTCTGATCTGGAGCTTTTGAGTTGTTTTCCAGTAAGGATGTTTGTTCGGATCCTGGACAGTTATGACAAACGACAAATTCCTCTCCTTGACCAAGATAAACATCGGTTGTTAGACATTCTAGGCCAAGTCTTTGTTCTCGCTTCGGTCATCTTGTGACCACAGTAACTGTCCGAATGAGTGGGTAGTCGAGCCCAGTGGCTTCTAGGTGTGCTTTCAACCTATTTATCTGACAGTTTTTGCGTAAGAGCTTCACAAAACTTCGAAATACTTTCCCGGCTCATGACTCTTATATTTAACAGGAGTTAACATTCCTCCAGTTCACATGTTTGCAACAGCGTGATCCTTTGCACGCATCAGACCGTGCTTCCTCGACAGTCGGATTCAGACGACGGTTATTATCGATTCCATTTTGTCCATCAATTATTCCCCGACTCATGTCATCTGTCACACAGAATCCAGCATCCTGTTGCCGTTGCTTGCACGCGTTTCTGCTCCAGTAGAAAGTGAAACCAGTCTGCCTTCTCTAGGTTTTCTTGGCCAGACAGTGGGGCTTCACTGAATGTACCGATGTCTTCCACGACAAGAGTAATGAGACTTGAAGACCAATTTCCTCCGTTCTCGTTTGAGAAACTCGCAGAAGAACTGTCTTTCTTGCTTCTATAATCCGCATCATGAGCACGAAGGTAAAACTTTTTAGCCGCTTAGTCGGACACTTCATTCAAAACCTTTGAATTCGTGCACCGACAGACAAGGCAGTAGAGGGCCAACCCAGAATGAGGTCACAGGGAGTAAGGCATGCGACTCTGGTTCCTAACAGTAGGCGCCTTCTGAGTAGCAACGGAATGCAACGGAATGGGGTAATGTACCATCTGTGACGGCCAACTGCAGTGCGTGGACTGACTGTTTCTTGTCCGACTGGCTTCCTTGAAGTGGTTAGACCTTCGGGAAATGACTTCCAGCGAGTGTAATACGTGGAATCACCATAGCAATTCAGCCCAGTCGTTGTAACAAGGCTGCAGTTATGGGACTGATAACAAAACTTACCTGTTGATCATTGCTTTTTTCAAACATTTGCGCAGAATTCTAATGGAGTCAGAAAGTAAGGCTTTAACAACCTTGCTTAGTTTCATGTCGAATATCGAACCATGCATGTTCTCGGATGTCAGAGACGGGTCGGTCACTAAAGAGTGGCAACGATTTGATCGATTCCTTCTGTTTGCACAGTTCTAATTTCCAAATTCTGATCGCAAACGATTCAGAAAACTGTACCACCTTACTGGTTGTAGTCCTGTACACAATGTGGAACGCAGCTGCTAGATATACTTAGAGCCAACTTTCAAGTAAACGACTGGCCGTCTGTGAAGTTGTTATCGACCGTACGTTTGCCTCAGTATTTGAATTTCTATTTGCACGTGATCTATTTAGTATAGGAAAGTGAAGCACCAGGGGACTTGAACTTCACACGTCTCACTGTCCGAACACAAGGAAGTGTTTTTTCTCCGTGGCATTGCTTGTGGCAGAGGTCAAACCACTGTCAAAGCTCTTACTTACAGACTTCTTTTTCGGTTTTATTGGTTTCAATTCTTGAAGTATATCGAACAGAAAAATGGATTCCCTAGGTCTTATTGTTCTGAACGCACCAGTGAAAACTAAGCATTGATTTATTGAGTCAATTATGAGAAATTTCCTGAGCGTGACCTCCGATGAACTTCCAGTGTTCTACTGCAGATCTGGTCAATGTTTGCCGTTTTCCGGAGTTCACAGTAGGACATACACCTGCAGATATTAGTTGATTCGGTCATTCGCTAGGTTGGAATAAACACACAGGCCTACAAAAACAGTTTTCTCACTAAATTTCTGTGCGTTACACGCAACATATATACTGCCTTCAGTCATTGCTCACGGCACTAGAGCAAAGTATCACAGGTCCCATGAGTAGTCTTGTTTGTATCGTGTTTGTGATTGGCGTGGTCCACCCAGCATTGATTGAGATTCGAAGTAAGTCACGTGGATACCAGTGACCAGATACTGACACTTACCTAGTCCATCAACTTGTACCATGGCGTTTTCATGTTTCCTCTGTCTTTCAATTGTTCAGAAAGCTTATCCGTGAAGAATGAGCCTTGTATTCGTCGGGACATTAACATGAGTCCATCAGAATGCATCTGCAGGCGCTGCACGGCGACCATCCCACCGTAAACTTTGCTTGTTCCGTTAATGGTAGATCCAAGCTGCCCAGCCATTATGCACGCACGGCTTAATCTGGCTCCAATAAGTTTACGGCTGCCCGTGCCCCTATAACTAGAGGCAAGTTGTACAAATAATGTAAACAAAAAGCTCACGAATCTTCTGGAAGTGAGGTACCGATGATAAGTCAAAAATTATTTGGCTACGTAGCGTCACATAGACCCTGAGAGGCTCCAGGGAGTCCAGAATAGCCACTGGATACGGATGAGTTCATCCGAGAGAGAGTGCGTGGAACACCTGACTAGTTTCGTCAACTGCGAAAAGCCAAATTCCCGACGTTTTGAGCAGCGTAAGAGTGATAAGCTGATCACAAAAGGGTGCCGCAGGACAAATATGATCTGTGAAATCTGCCATCTTGTTGGAACACTGCATCGTTAGATGAAACTGGACGAAATTAGCAAGTAACAAAGAAAACCTAAGCCTAAGTGTGCTGATATCCAATGGTTAAGTAAGTAACGCGCTTAAGCGACTTAAGCCTGTTGAACCTCTCGTTTATGATGTTTCTCAACCGATGACATCAAATTTAGTTACAAACGAATGCACACGGCTAGGAAATTGTTTTTTTCTGGTTAACCTGTGAACTATCACACTGAGACATCTGCAGGCGCTGCACGGCGAGCATCCCACCGTAAAGGTTGCTTGCCCCGTTGATCTAAGCTGCCCAGTCATTATACACGCACGGCCTAATCTGGTTCCCATAAGTTTACGGCTGCCCGTGCCCCTATAACCAGAGGCAAGTTGTACAAATAATGAAAACAAAAAGCTCACTAATCTTCTGGAAGTGAGGTACCGATGATAAATCAAAAATTATTTGGCCAGGTAGCATCACACAGACCCTGAGAGGCTGCAGGGTAGATCTGTGGGGCGTCCAGAATAGCCACTGGATACGGATGAGTTCATCCGAGAGAGAGTGCGTGGAACACCTGACTAGTTTCGTCAACTGCGAAAAGCCAAATTCCCGACGTTTTGAGCAGCGTAAGAGTGATAAGCTGATCACAAAAGGGTGCCGCAGGACAAATATGATCTGTGAAATCTGCCATCTTGTTGGAACACTGCATCGTTAGATGAAACTGGACGAAATTAGCAAGTAACAAAGAAAACCTAAGCCTAAGTGTGCTGATATCCAATGGTTAAGTAAGTAACGCGCTTAAGCGACTTAAGCCTGTTGAACCTCTCGTTTATGATGTTTCTCAACCGATGACATCAAATTTAGTTACAAACGAATGCACACGGCTAGGAAATTGTTTTTTTCTGGTTAACCTGTGAACTATCACACTGAGGGTACACATCAAAACCGATCGATAGTTTACGCAAATAAGATTTCTCTTTCGGTTATCGATTGCAATAAACTACAATCGAATAAGGACAGAGTTACCCGTTTGTGAATTTTCTAATCTTCTGTCTTCAAAGCTGCTCCAAATAAACTTTCTCCTGTTTTATGCTCGCAGTGATTAACGTTCAACTGGATACCAAAGGCGTACCTTACAATCAGTCAGACCCATGTGAGCCGGTAGGTCAAAGTGACGCTTTCATATCTCTGTGAGTTTCACTCAACTGAAAAAAAACATGACGACACTTTATCCGTATCATTCGATTTCAGTTGAAAAAACTCAGTCCTTCATACTGGCAAGAAAATCGATTCCAGCAATGCAAACTTGTCCAAGACAGTTCTGGTGTTCTTTTGTATCATGTTGGCATTGACAACGCACAGCTACAGCCTGGACTTCAAAACTTGAAGTCAAATTACTATAGTTGGGTGATCAACCGGCAGCTGAATTCGGGGAGCGCCGGTTGTCCGACGTTGACCAGTGAGTTTTTTTCTCACTGTAACCGCATCTGTAACCATGGTAATAACTCCTGTCTAGCCACCGGCCACCAAAGCATGGAATGAATGGTATTTGAGTTACCGAAATACACAGACGGCTCAGTTGAATTCCAACCGAATCGCTCGTTTATGCTGGTTTTTAAATGCATGTGTTGTGTAAAGGCCACCTAGTGTCCCAGTTGACGGCGAATGCGAGATAGCGCAGTGGATTTTACTGGAGGAAAACGGCTGATGATTTTGTCTACGACCACTCTTGTCATGCTCGTCAAATAGGCACATTCTCCGAGGTTCCTTCGAACGTTTGTTCAACTTGAGACCCGACTGTTGTGCGAATGAGTCTAGAGTTCGGACAATTCATACAAGCCTGACATGAACTTGAAAGTGCGCTTAGCTGATGAGCCAGAAAAATGATGAACCCAAAGCGGGCTGTCAATGGGATTTCAGCAAACTGTTTAACTGTCTAGGTGAATTTGGGCTGGGTAAAGCACAAGGCTCCGAAGGGAAGTGAAGAGCCAGTTAGAGGCTGCCACAACATCCTGTTTGAGTAAACTTGCTGTTTCGTATCCGTGAAGAATGCACTGAACGGTTTCGTTGACAGGACGAAATTTCAATTGAAAATTACTGGATTTTCTCACACTACTATCAACCTAAAAGTAGCTCAAGACAGGAATAGTTTCACAAGATGTACGAAACGTCCTGAGCAGCCAGTCATAACGTGAACTGTGAGTTGAGCACACGTAGCGTCATCTTTGTCTAACTGAAAGCTAATCGCAGTGTTGCTCAGACGCTCGCGGCCGCAGAGTCAAAGGTTCAAACTTGTAGTTGGGATGCCGTGGGTTGGGAGCTCCCTTAAGTTCAGTGCTGATGATTCCCGATAAGGACGAAACAGCTATACAGTGCCTCTCGGCTCTCAGCCTAAACTGCCTGCTCCTATGAGACGAACTCTCAGTTGAAGATTTCCAAGTTAGCAGTGAGCAAAGAAACGGTACCAGAGAAAACATTGGTTAAAACCAAACAGCCAGCCGTTTTTGTTGCAGTGCAAGATAAAAATCGAGAAACGCAATTTCTATCCACCTACCAACTTCCAACTTCCAACTAGCAAAGGAGAGCCATTAATCTGTTCCAGTCCCTATCGTGCAATCACGGTTGATATACGTTTATTTCTGTGACTCTTTCTTAAATTTATGTCAGAAAAACCAATCAGCTGGGTTAGAACTTAACACGCTACTCACAAGGTTGCTGAAAACTCTTGGACAGCCCATGACTGGTTTCGCCGTATTGTGGCCCATCAGTTAGGCGCAGTCGCAGAGTTTCCGTCAACCTTATGTTCTACTTGAACTCGAATTTGACAAACTTCGGCAAATACTCTCGTTTGCGCATGAATTTGACTTTCACAAGATACTTAACTGATTCCAGATGATTCTGTCATTTCTGATGGTCTGCTTGTGTGTTATGTCTAAACACTAACAAATAGCACATTCAGGTGAAGAACATCCTAAACGATTTATTTGAGTGTCATGTGAAAACCAAATTCATTTTCAAATAAGTAGATTTGTCGAGATCAACCCAATTTAGGTTCAAGCGGAACATAAGGTTGACGGACACTCGGAGAGTGCGTCTACCTGATGAGCCCCAAGAAGGGCGAAACCGGTCATGGGATGTCACAGTGTTTTCAGCAACCTTGTGAGTAGTTTCCTTTATGAAAATATACTGCAATTTCTCGAATATCGTACTGAAACAAGAGTTGGCCTGTGTGCAGCACATTCTGTTGAAAAATGTCACAAACGGGAGATTGAGCAGTATTCACTTAGATCTCCTGTGTAAACCGAATTCATGTTCACATGAGGGGGGAGTCTAACAAGAACACATCCCAAATCTTCGCTCGTGAGATTTTCTACATGATGAATAGCCTGTGTACGTAAAATGGAGTTCAGTACGTTACTTGTAACATATTTCGCTGAGGATGTTCTGCGCTGTCAGCCGTTCTGAAACTCGAATT